TCTATCTTTTTATTTGAACAAAATAAAATAATACTATCAACACATTTATTTAAAACTCAAAAATACATAATCAATTTCCAAAAAATATAGAACTACCAACATCTATTAATAAACAATATTAATTAATATTAATAAAAAACATTAACAACTAAGGTTCAGTTTGATAATACTGTTTACAATACTTTTTGCAGAACTTTTTATAATTTATATGTTTGGTAAATTATTCATTCTTACGTATTCAGAAAGGTATACAAAATTGATCTTATCCAAAATTAATAAATTTCCAAATCTTTTTCCATACATTATATATTAAATTATTAATTAATTTAATTTTAATAATAATATGTCTAATTGAGGAATAGCACTAAATAGTGTTGTCAATTTAAGTCTAAATAAATAAATACCTCTATAATTTTTAGAAGATCCTGAAAATATTAAAAAAATTAAAAATTCTTCCATTAGGGATTCATATGAGAAATAAAACAAATAAAAAATGAAAAATATTGGTAAAGTAATTATATATTAAACTAAACATTATCTTCATTAAACGTTTTATATTTCAGCAAATATACCTAAAAAAATAAGGCAATTAGAATCATTTGCAAGAAAAAATAATTTAAGAGAGGAGAATAAGAATATGAGAAATGAAAGTGAAGAAAAGTAGTTAAGGAGAACCCAAAAAAGTACCCAATGTATATAAATATATATGAAATTAGTTTCGTTTTGCCTTGTCTTGTAAAAATTTTTAAAAAAATTATTTTAAAATTATATCGTTTTAATAAAATATCATAAAAAATGACTAAAAATACTTTAATTCGTACTTTAAAAATAAGGTATTTAATCTTTTCCAATAGAAGTTGATTGAAATAACATAATTTTAAGATATTTTTCTCACAATTTTTAAGAAATAAGGTGTATCATATGAGAAGCAAAGAATATATGAAGAAGAAATAGAGGAATATGAAGTGAAGGAAGAAATGATGAACGAGGAAGAATTAACAAAGTAAAACTATGTGGAGGAAAGGAAGAAAGAAAATGGGATAGAATTAAAGGGAAGAGGGAGGAGGGGGGAAGGCAGAAGAAAGAAAAAGAGAAGAGAAATGGTAGTGAAGTTGTTAATATATTGGCGTAAGTTATTTTCCACCATACTGGGATGGAAAGTAATTTAGGTGGGCTTTGGAAAATTTTCCACCACAGGTCAGTGGAAAATATTATATGACATTTTGAAAATCTAAATTTAGGCACCCTTCATTGAATGAAAACGTTCAAAACCTTGTCTAAATTATTTTCCACCGCAATCTTGCTGAAAATAGCCTTAGCATAGCTAACTCATTTTTTCATAAATTTATGGTAATTTTTTTCCACCAGGTTATTGTGGAAAATAAGTTTGGCATACTTAAAATAAAAAATAAAAAAACCTTATATTTCATGAAAATTGTACAAAAAGAGCAATAAAACTTGAAACGATGGCCTTTCCAAAAAATAAAGTTAAAATCTCAATTTGGTTTCTTTATTTTGATAAAAAGTTTCAGTTTAGT